CTTTAAGTGGATACTTTAAGTTTTGGAATATCTATGAATTTGTAACAGGAATGTAATTTAACTGTCTTCAACAGGCAATCGTTAAAACATTTTAAAATATTATCGTGTTATGATAATGTGTTTATGTAATTTGTTAGTTATTTAGGAAGAAAAATTTTAACAGTTTAATATTATTTTTAGAAAACTAAACTTATATATTTTTGTTTTACTATTTTAAAGTCTGTGTAACACAATTAGTATTGTTTATTGAAATAATTGAAAATTCTAAGGAAAAAAAACCTTTACAAACATTGTATTAAAGACTGCTTATAAGTGCAAAATATATATGTATATCTTAAAATTAGGGTCTGGCCACTGCACTGCGTCTGCGATCGGTCAACAGTAAATATTACAGCTGAAGCAGTTTTCGGTCAGCAAATAGGCACAGTTCGTGGGACAGGCAGGGGCATCGATGAGTGGGGATGGGGTGGAAGATGGGACCTCGATGAGGTTGTTGATACTGATGATTCCGCCTCTTTGTGCTCCGAGTCAGACGGAACTCAATGGGAAGAGCACAACGGCAGCACTCGTGATTAGTACGAAAAGTTATTTTTATTTCTATTTAGTTTATTTATCCAGCCAGTTCATGATGCTGCTTGTACTGTTTGCATTTTACGCTTGACATTTTCCGCCAGAGCTTATCAGAGCCAAACACGCGAACAAATACGCTCCTAATTAAGGTTCTCTTTAGATTTCCAGAGCCAGATCCAGGTCACGTGTATTTACTTGTCTGATTAATTTTTTTCTGTCTGCTTCTGCAGTTTGGTAATCAGAGATTTTACTGCACCTTATTAGTGCACTTTGGGTTGAAACAAAAGTGAAATGATAAGCAAGGGCAAATGCAAAATGCAGTTGTATAAATGTGTAAAAAACCGACACAGGTTTAAAGCCGCACATAAAGGCAACTTAAAATGTTACTCAACCTGTCAGGTTATAAGCCGCCATCCGACACTTTTTCCAGTGTAAAGCGACGAATGAGAAAGCCGGGGGAAAGGGGGATAAGATCCATTAGACAGTCTGAAATGTTAATCTCAGTTAATTAAGCTTTCAGCTAAAGAACTGTCAAGGTGAGCATGAAATTCTAAGGCGGATGCTACCAATTTCGTATTCAAATATCACTGACAAACTGAGCTCTTCTGCACTTTGCATTTCCAAGATATTAAAATATGTCACTCTATATGTCTATACATTTAATTAATTTGATTCCAATTCCTGAAATGGGCAACTCACTTTTTGAATCATAAAGAGGTTATAAATTATTCAAATCATAAGCTGAGCTGTCGCACTGATAAGACGTTTTTTCTATGCCTGAAGAGTAAGCCTAAGACAGGCAAACATTTAAAAATAACTCGAAATTTGCCGACTTCTAATTAATTTAATATCTTAGAATTTTTTTTTAATAAATTATTCTATTTAAATATTTTGAAAATTATAAACAAATAAAATAACAGTGCAGTCGTCTCTTGAAATGTACCTCAAAGTGAGAACCTCTCAACCCTTGGCCAAAAAACTAATTCCAGCGTTATTCACTCGAGTCATGGGCATGAATAATATCAGTTAATTATGCTTATACCAGGGTATACATACATACATATGTATGCATATGAATCAGCCAGAAATTGTGTGTGTATGTAGTGTAATTTTCATAAATAAATTTGCACTTAACAAATGAGCAACATAAGCAAAATGTTGCTAAGCGCAGCAACAGGCGGTGGAAAGATTGCAGTTAGGGGGATGGAAAACAGGGGAAAGCCGGGGAGTGGGAAACAACAAGGAAGTCCGTAAAACAAAGCCAAGCTCAATGAAAAAACGGGGCAATGGCAGTCGCCAGACAAAAGCAGACAACAACATGTATAACAGCCAGCAGAACGGCAGAATTAAAATTTAATTTTAATCGCCAAAAAAGAATAAACAGATGGAAGAACAGCAGAAAGAGACGGACAGACAGAGAAATACAAGGAAGCGACTTATTCACACATACCATACGCCCATGAACATAATGGGGATCGGTGTGCAGACAAATAAATTTCCAAGCAGAAGGCAAACGGCCGCTGTGCAGCCACTGAAAACTGAAAATGCAAGCGCACAGCTGCGGCTAAGAGAATAGCACCAAAAATAAGCTGACAAGAAGCGCTGATTAAAAAAAAAACTTTGACGGAAGTCGAAAGTTACTGCCAAAATTTCAACATTGTATTTTTATGACAATGGGACTATAAATATTTAATCAAAATAGGGTTTGGACACCAAAAAACTACATCAAGAACAATTGCATTTACTCCAAATAAATGCTGCCTTTAAGAAAAAAGTCTCTTAAAAATTCACTATAATTAAAAAAGATCATAAAATTCACACTGCACTGCATTTAATAACTTCGCCTTTTAAAAAAGGATCGGTCTCAACCTTGAACACTACATTCCTGGCCGCGCCTGTACACGCATCGTGGAATTTAATAAACACCGAACAGAACAAAACAGAACAGACACGGCCATATGCATGAAGGCTGTGGATTTGTACATAAATCCCTGCGAGACGATCGCCAGAACCGCAGACACAGCAACAACTACAACAAGAAGCAGCAGATCAACAACAACTATGGAACCCAAACAACCGCAGAGCAACAACAACAACATGGGGAACAGGTCGCGGACTCAGGTAAACGGCAGGAAGTGTGCGAGTGCGAGCGAGGTGGCATCGATAAGGCACTGTCGCTGATAAATATCGATAAAAGGGGCAAGTATGTAGGTAGAATAGAAAAATTCTAGAAAAACGGGAAGGGAAATGATGCTGAGGGGGCGCGACAACGAATACAACAAGCCGAAAATCTAGAAAACCCGAAAAACAACAACAAACCAAGAACTGTAAAAAATGCAACAAGAAGAACCTGCTTGGAAAGCAACAACAACAACAACAACATCAAAAGAGGGAGAAGGCAACAAGAACACGAAAAACAACGCGACAAAGTAATGGAAAACGAGAAGGGAAGTTTACTCTGGAAAGTCGAAATTTGAATTCCCTTACAGTTATAACTCATCTGAGAATGCGTAGTTTTTTTAGATCTATGAAATCGAAGACATACATACAAACAAAATTGATTTATCCCGTGCTAGACTATAATACCATCGGCAAGGATACATATACAAATGTACATATTTATTATTGCCATATTGATACAATTTACGTTTTAATAGTAATAAAAACAAGTTCATTGTAATTGGATCTTTTGCTGCGTTACAAGCCTCTTAGTTATGCCACAATATCCTCTGGAAGGGAATTAAAAATGTTAGAGGCAAAGTTAAAATTAAATAAGCATGAGCGAGATGCACAAAGAGAAAAAGAGAGTCAGAAGAAGAAGTGGGAGCGAGAGAGCAGGCAAGAGAATGCAACGTATGCAGTTATTTATGTAGGCGCAGCAGAGCTGTTGTTGTTGCTATTTTGGAGGCCCGCAGATGAAAACTCAGAAAATCGTGTACAAAATCAAATTGCAAAAGCAAACTCTACTTGGACATAATGTTGTTTTTTATCTACGCTTTTTGTTGTTGCTGGTGCAGTCGTGACGTCAGGGCGCATGCGTTAAACCGAATGCCGCTTTTCTATTTTGCTGTCATCTCAATGATGTTATGGCTATGTGTTCATTCATTCTAAAAAGGGGTATCCCCATTTCTTCGCAGTGTTGGTAACACCACTTTTTATTTAAACACTTTGGACTTGATGAACAACTAGAAAAAGATTGTCAAAGAAATTAAATTAAGTGGACCACAAATTTTGTCTACCCCTTCTTAAGTAGAATTTTTGGACACGCAAAAGCCACAACTACGACGAAAACTTAAGAGAAATCAATTAGAGAATGTGGGAATTTAAATTGGCTATAGAAAAGGGTAGACTGCCTTTATAGACATTCCGTTTTTTTTTTAAATTAAGATTACGCCGTTAAAAGTAATAATTGATAACAACCAAAAAACAACTACCATTTCAATCTAAACTTTTCACTAATTCTTAAAGTACTCTTTGCACTTTCGAACGTAAATAAAACAACCAAGGTTTACCAACATTTTTTTAATTAAATGATTAGAGTTTCTTAAGTAATTGGTCTGAGATGTGCAATTCTCAATAAAACAAGCCCTAGAATGATAATAATACAAGGGTACTAAAACTCCGATTCAGAAATAGAACCTTACTGCCTTCTGGTTGCTTTTGTGTTTTTTTTTCAATTTGTTTTTGTTTGGGGAAAAACGCACACGAAATTTATGCGGCGTTGCGTTCTGGAGTTCTGAAACTGAAACATGAAGATTTCGGTGGTGCGGTGGTGATGGTGGTGCACCCAGAAGGGGTGTTTTTCCCAGCTGGGGGTTGATTGTTGTTGGAGCCGCCGTTTGGGGAAAAACTGGAGGTGGGGGGTCCGAGAAGCGAAGCAGTGACAAAATGCGCACACAAATAGAAACGGCAATCTTGCAGTGCGACGTAGTAGCGATTAACAAAAACCAAAAACGGAAAGCACACTGGGAAAACAATTATAAATTGCGTTATAATTTGTGCGATATGGAAGCGGTGAGAATGTTTATCAGCCGTTTGGGGTTCAATAGACCCGACTGGCGCGGCAAATGCAACGCAAATCTCCAATTCAAAATACGAAATACAGGGAACTTTCGCAAAAGATATATATAAAGTTTTATGCACAGAATAAATACGAAAAACATATAAATGTAAACTAATATTGTTAATCCATATTTGCTATACAGTAAAGCCAATCTATACAGTGATCACTTCAGTGATTTTTTTTTTTTTTATAGATTTCCTGTATCTAACACGGCCTGTAGAACAATAAAAACAGTCTGTGACGGACATAGACGCTAATTGGGCTGTCGAAACGGGTTAACGACATTGCCCGATATCGGGGAATAGGTCTGACTGATAACTGTCGATCGTATCTGAAATGCATGTACGATTACTGGATGATAACTTACCGTTTTACCATTTTGTTGGTTACCCCCGAGTTGTTTTCCTGCTGAGTGCCAATATCAACGGATCTGTTATAATCCAGTTTTGATGTAAAGATTTTAATGCGACGGAAATTAATTTTGCCGATCTTTTTGTTAAACCTTTAAATAATCGATATGGACATTATGGATTAATTTTAATTGCTGTGAAACGCGACTTTTACTTCCTAGATTTAAGAAGTATTTCCAAAGGCGATGGCGGCGCAGCGGGAGTCCAATTGGAAGACAAAAACAAGATATTAATAAATCGTGGAGACCGTGTAGATAGTTTTATTTATATTTCCGAATTGCAGGCCGTTCTTGTTTTTATTTTTTTTTGCTTTTTCCTTCTGCTGCGACGCCAAAGCAAGGTTTTATTTTATATATTTTTTTTTTCAGAGTAGCTGCACGAAAAATCACTTTATTGATCCGCTTTCGCCGTAATTATATTCACGTTTCTGCAGCGGAAAACGGCGGAGATTAGCACGCAATATGAATGCACTTTAGATTTTTCCCTTTCCAACTTTTCGCCCTCCCCCGCCTTTCCGCTTTTCCACTTTCCTTGCGGCGCTTAGTCACTTCGCATTCACTCACACTCACACTCGAAATGCACACTCCGATTTTGATTTACCTCTCGAATGCGATTTATTCAGCAATCTGCTTTCGATATTATTTATATTGCTCTTGCACTGGCTCATCCGCACACAGAATCTGAGGGATTTTCCTGTGTTATTTTCCGATACACATAAACAAAGCTCGCGGCGTTTGGCTTTTCCGCATCTCGCGCGCGTCTTCAATTGAAAATCGTTTTGATTTCGATCGCCTGGCAGTTTTCGAATCGCCACTTTTCAAATCGAATGCCTTTCCTTTTGTTTTGATGCTTAATTGTCAGCGATAAAACGGCGAAGGCAACAACAAATAACGATGCGTGGTGATGCGGGCGGTGGTTTTTGTTCGTTCGCAAGTTGCAGTGTGACCGCAGATCGCAAGAGTGGTTAATCCATGCAAGCGCCTATGCCAGAAAAATGGCACTGAAAAATACCAGCAAACCAGTCGAAATCAACTCCACAAACATTTAGCACAGACTCAAACCATTTAACCGATTAACAGATATATTAATTTTAATGATTAAATTAAATCGGGTATAACTTAAAAATAACACGATCTGATCAATATGTATATTCAAAAATAAACTTAGAAATTGCTCTTTGATTTATTCAGTCAAATAAAGTTGTTTGCTCGTTTTGTTTGCCAGAAATGTTAAATTACCGTAAGATTTTTAAGCTCACTTATTACTATTAAAAGGCTATGAATAAGTAAATAAAATCCTTAAAAATTTCTATAAAACAGCTGGCAAAAGCTGACCAAAATTTAACGGTTCAACATTTCAATCGGAATACCGTTAGTGGAAACATTCGATAATATCGAATAAATATACCATCTCTAAGAACGTGTGTTTTTGTTGCGCTTGCAGCTGGTTTAATTTTAATTTTAAGCATTAAACAATTATGTCGGCGCAGTACCATCGTTTCCTAAAAGTACTTGAAAAGTGGCCAGCAGACAAAACAAAAGTCGGCAGGTAAGCATCAACAGCAAAAATAAATAACATAAATGTTCGTTCTGGCGGCGCAATCAGTTTGGATTATCTAACAAATATTGCCAAGAGTTGTTATTTGAGTAAATATGCATCCCCAATGCCTTGCAATTAGTGTTGTTATTTATAATTTATCAGATCAGTTTCGCAATATGCAAATGTGGGAGAAATTTCACAGTTTGCTAAGGTTTTTATCAGCCGGCGCGCCAAGCAATTTAGGTTCCCACCAGCTGACCCAAGATACTGTGGATCGTGGATTGCATTTGCCGTGTTCTGGCCAGTAACTTGTGGATCTTGGGTTACAGGTACTTGATCTACTGGGCTGGCTCTACAAGGCTTTCATTGTCTTACCAGTTTTCCGAACGTTCAGACACCTTCTTAACTTAATTTATCTGGTGATAAACATGGCTTCTAAATTCACCTATCAGTTGGAGCCGGAGAAATTTATTTTGGGCGAAAAGCTCGATATGTAAGTTTGTGAATTTCCATTTGAATTTGCAATTAACAATAATTGTTGAGTGGAATATTACAATGGGTATTAAACAGGTTGTTGGTTAGAATAAAAGCGTGCTGATAATGATCTGTAAATAATTAAGATTTTTACACGATGATTTTTATGAAAATTACAGTACAGCTCAAGTTTTTTTCTCTAAACACATGGATGATTTTGAGATATTGTTTTCAGTTTTTGTATGAAGATTTTCAAATATGTATAGTACCTATTTGCAAAATTCTTAATTGCATTCTTATTCCTAATTGCAGTAATTTTTTTATAATTAGGGCTTAGACTGACTTTGAAATGCAATAAAATTTTCTAAGATAGACATAAAGACTGCTAAGCTAAAATCTTTGCATAAAAAGCTTTGACATCTGTTTCTTGCTATGAAGGTTTTACGATTGGTTTTTCTCGCCTGTTAGTTTTCTCTCTTTATGGTTTTCAATTACACCACCGTCCAAGTGGTTTTCCAAACCAAACTCACAACTCTCGGAAAAGTGAACGAACCTCCGACCCAGCTGCGCCGCATGGAACGAACATCCAACACTGAAAACACACACACACACACCCATTAGTTGGAACTGCCACTAAACTTTCTCTCCTTTAACCCAAAAACAAGGGATCTCGGCGAGCAGATTCGCAAGCAGTTGACCAAGCTCACCAGCCTTGAGGACGGAGCCACGGACAAGCAGCTGGGTCGCCAGTTAGATGCTCTGGAGAGGCTCTCCAACAACGTCTACGCCAAGAAGTATCCGCGCACGTTTGAATCCACGGCCACCGGGTTAACGGCGGCCCAGTGTAGCCAAGTGTTGAGCTCCGAGTTTCTGCAATATCTTAACGAGGGAGCAGGCTCCAAAAAGAAGTAGCAACATGATGAAACGACTCCTAATCCCCACTAGACTGAGACTGGACTGCTTGAGGCGTAGCTCGATTGAAGTGATGGCGACTGCATCTCTTCCACACGTTCCCGTGCTCTGCGATACTGCTATTGATTACCTGCAACCCGTTCCCGGAGGCACCTATTTCGACATGACCTTCGGAGCTGGTGGCCACACGCGTCGTCTTCTGGAGAAGTGTCCCGAGGCGAAGGTCTTTGCCTTAGATCGAGATCCCATAGCACACCAGCTGGCCCGCGAAATGAGCGAATCGGAGGAGTACAAAGGGCGTCTGATTCCCCTCCTGGGCAAATTCTCCGACATACCAAAACTATTCAAGGAACACGGCCTGGCCAAGCATTCGGTGGATGGGATCCTCTTCGATTTTGGCTGCAGTTCCATGCAGTTCGATGAGGCGGTAAGGGGCTTCTCTATTTCCAAGGACGGACCCCTGGACATGCGCATGGATGGGGGCCACAGCGGAGGAGTAACCGCCGCCGAAGTGCTTACCCACATCGAAGAGGGGGATCTGGTGAAGATCCTACGATTCTATGGCGAAGAGAAAGCTGCCAAGAAGATTGCCAGAGGTCTGATAGACGCACGAAAGGCTCTCTTGAGAATTGAGACCACCAGGCAGTTGGCGGACATAGTAGAAAACATCATGGATGGCGGAGCCAGAAGGGATAAGCTACGAAGACCCGCCCACTCGGCCACGAAGACCTTTCAAGCCATCCGCATCTTTGTGAACAACGAGCTGAACGAGATCAACTACGGCATGGTTTTGGCCAACGAAATCCTTCGTGTGGATGGCCGCTTGGTCACCATCACCTTTCACTCGCTGGAGGACACCATCGTGAAGCGCCACATCAACGGAAACGTTTTGGCCGGAGCCGCCAATGCCTTGCCCCTCAAGTATTCCAGTCACTATGCCATCGACGAACCGGAGATGTTGGAATCGCTCACAAAGAAAAACTGGAGGCAACTCCATCGCCATGTCATCGTGCCGGATGCCGAGGAAGTGGCCAGAAACACACGCAGTCGATCCGCCAAGCTGAGAGCAGCCGTCAAAACAAACTAAACGCATGTCAATAAAATCCCCTCGGTCTAGTCCAGAATTCTCACTCTTGCGATCTATTTTTTTTTTCTCTATCTCTCTGTGTGTTTGGATTGCTCTGCTTATCTGTCCAACCAATTGGCACCCGGTGATAAGGACTGGTTTATCTATTTACCGGAGTTATTTGTGGTTCTCGTGCAGAATGATTTGGGCCTTGGTTTTTCAGTTTTTTGTTTAGTTAGATTAGGAAATTGCTGTTAATTGCCAGGTAGATAAGTAGTTTGGAACAGTGTGACCGATTTACCTTAGCTTTCTAATGTTTCAATTAACTTTAAATAGAAACAATTTTCTAGATTTACCAAATTAACCTATAAAAGTAGTTGTATAAGATTTACTACCTACCAAATGGTCGATAGTCCATTTATTTATTAGTCTCATTAAACTTTCGAGTACTACTTTCAAGTGCTTCATATCACTAACATACGGATTTGATATGGAAATAAGTTTTGCTAACCATTTTCCATGATCATATCCATGATAATGGTATATATGTTTACCATTCCCACTCTGCGGTTGTTTTTCTCTCGGAGATGGATGGGTGATGTTGTGGGTCGTCAGCCGGTGTTGTTCACGGTTGCCAATCGCAAGATGTGACCCGCGAGAAACCCGAAACCGATAATCTCGAAGGCGCCTGATAAGCGAGCGGGATTACGAAGTGGAGAGGGGCGCGGCAGAGCACCTATGTGGTCTATATAGATAGGGGCACCCATGGAACGCTCCATTCAGTTGCATTGCGCGAGCCGAGTTGGCGTGGCTAGTGAGGCAAAATTTTCGGTCTTCCGGACTAAAGTATTTTACGGGCTTACGTTATTTCAGCGACGAGTGGTGCGCAGAGCCGGCGGTCAAGATGAGCGAGGCGAAGATCATATCGGGCACGGCGGTGGCCAAGTGAGTGGCAAGAACTTGTGGTTCCCAGGTCCCTGCTTTAACCTATCCTTTAACCCGTAACAGATCCATTCGCGAGGAGCTGCGTAACGAGGTGGCTGCTATGGGCAAGCAATTGGCGAACTTTGTGCCCGGCCTGAGGATCGTTCAGGTGGGCGGACGCGAGGACTCCAACGTCTACATTCGCATGAAGATCAAGGCGGCCACCGAGATCGGAATCGATGCCGCCCACGTCCAGCTGCCACGATCCATCACCGAGGTGGAACTGCTCGATAAGGTGAGTACTCGATTCAAGGAAGTTATGCAATATAGTGTTCGCTTGACAGCAATATACAATAAGAGCTTTAAATCTTTTCTTTAAAAACATTAAATATATAATTTTTAATAATAATTAAATCAAACGTTAATAGAACATAGTATTTAAAATAATAACCAATTTCTTTTTTGGATATAAATGTAACTTTAATTTACTTCTTAATCGATTTTGATTCCTCTGAAGTATAATAAATAATAAAAATTAAATTAATTTAATCAATGTTATTGATCTGTTTTTAATAAATATTATACCTTACATAATTCCAGATCAACGACCTGAATGAGGATCCGCGGGTACATGGCATCATAGTGCAAATGCCCCTGGATTGCGATAGTCCCATCGATTCGCACCGGATCACGGACGCAGTCTCTCCGGAAAAGGATGTCGATGGCCTGCACACGGTGAACGAGGGTCGCCTGGCCATCGGAGACCTGGGAGGATTCCTGCCCTGCACCCCGTGGGGCTGCCTGGAGCTCATCCGCCGCTCCGGAGTGGAGATCGCCGGGGCGAGGGCTGTGGTCCTGGGTCGCAGCAAGATCGTGGGCACTCCCGCTGCCGAGCTGCTCAAGTGGGCCAATGCCACGGTCACGGTGTGCCACTCGAAGACCCGCAACCTGGAGGAGATCACCCGCAGTGCCGACATCCTGGTGGTTGGCATCGGTGTGGCCGAAATGGTCAAGGGCTCGTGGATAAAACCGGGAGCTGTGGTCATCGATTGCGGCATCAATGTGAAGCCAGGTGAGTGAAGAAATAATTTAAAGATCGCCTTGACACTATCCAAAACCATGAACAGAAAATGAGTACTTGGACATAAGTGGGAGACTCTTGCAAGACACAGACACATTGCCCAGTTTTGTAGGGAATCTGTTACCCTCTACGTTATAAAATTTAATTTAAATATATAATAAGAAATATAAATTGAAGTTCGTCAAAAAAAAAAAAAAAAAAAAAAATTGAGGAACAGATGTTTAAAACTATCCACCTGTCAATTGCTTTTAAGTTTCTGGAAGTTTTATTTTTTTTTAAGTGAGGCATATTGAAATTGCATTATTTAGCACTTTAACTATTTTTGGGATATATTTTTAAAAAACCGTTATGTATAGTACATTTTATTAGGGCTCTATTGTAAGTATTTTCGTTCATTTAATTGATTTTAGACAGATAGTAAATAAAAATTAAATTTAAAACAAAAAAAAAATTAATTGATGTTGTTTTTAAAAAAAGTTTTCCATGTTTCCCCTCAATCGCTTATCAAGGCATTCGACCCCCTGGTGGGACTCCTAACCCCCGGAGATAAGAAATGATTTTGTTTTCAAAAATCTGTCTCTTGAGAGTTAGTTCGGGAAGAGCTCCCGATTGGTACAAGTCGATACAAGACTGAAACACTTCTCAATCCTTTCCAGACGCCAGCAAGGCCAGTGGCAGTCGGCTGGTTGGGGACGTGGCCTACGAGGAGGCACTCCAGGTGGCCGGACATCTGACACCCGTACCCGGCGGCGTGGGACCCATGACGGTGGCCATGCTGATGAAGAATACCGTGCGCTCGGCGGTCCGATCCCTGGAGCGCCAGTTGAGGAGCGAGTGGACCCTGCAAGCGCTACCCCTGAAACCCTTGCGTCCCGTGCCCAGCGACATAGTGATTGCCCGAGCCCAAAAGCCCAAGGACATCGCTGTGCTGGCCAAGGAGATTGGTCTGGACGCCCGAGAGGTGTCACTGTATGGCAACAAGAAGGCCAAGATTTCGCTGTCTGTGCTGGAGCGTCTGGCGGGCAAGGAGGCGGGTCACTATGTGGTGGTGGCCGGCATGACACCCACGCCCCTGGGCGAGGGAAAGACCACCACGCTGATGGGTCTGGTCCAAGCACTGGGTGCCCACAAGCAGCGGAACACCATGGCTGCCCTGAGGCAACCCTCGCAGGGTCCCACCTTCGGCATCAAGGGAGGAGCGGCGGGCGGGGGCTATGCCCAGGTTATCCCCATGGAGGAGTTCAACCTCCATCTGACCGGAGACATCCATGCGGTGTCTGCGGCCAATAACTTGCTGGCCGCCCAGCTGGACACCCGCATCTTCCACGAGAATACCCAGAAGGACAAGCCCCTGTACGAGAGGTTGGTGCCGAAGGTCAAGGGGGAGCGCAAGTTCAGCAACATCCAGCTGCGTCGCCTCCAGAAACTGGGCATAACCAAGACCGATCCCGATTCGCTGACCGAAGAGGAGTACGGATCCTTTGCCCGGCTGGACATCGATCCGGATACCATCATGTGGGAGCGTGTGGTGGACATCAACGATCGCTATCTGCGCAGCATCACCGTCGGCCAGTCGCCCACCGAGAAGGGCATCTCGCGGGAGACCCGCTTCTCCATTTCGGTGGCCAGTGAGATCATGGCTGTGCTGGCTCTGTCCCGCTGCCTGGAGGACATGAAGCGTCGTCTGGCCGACATGGTGGTGGCCTTCGACCGACGTGGCAAGCCGGTGACCGCCGATGATTTGGGCGTAACTGGCGCCCTGGCCGTGCTCCTCAAGGATGCCCTCGAGCCCAACCTGATGCAGTCGCTCGAGGGAACGCCGGTCCTCGTCCATGCTGGTCCCTTTGCCAACATAGCCCACGGTTGCAACTCCATCATCGCCGACGAAATCGGTCTGAAGTTGGTGGGCAAGGACGGATTCGTTTGCACGGAGGCGGGATTCGGTTCGGATATCGGCATGGAGAAGTTCTGCAACATCAAGTGCCGCACGTCCGGGCGCCAGCCCAACGCCATGGTGCTGGTGGCCACTGTGAGGGCCATCAAGATGCACGGAGGCGGAGCACCCGTGACCCCCGGAGCTCCCTTGAACAAGCAGTACACCGAGGAGAACCTGGAGCTGGTGGAGAAGGGCCTGCCCAATCTTCTGCAGCACATCGCCAATGGCAAGGCCTTCGGCATGCCCGTGGTGGTGAGTCTAAATGCCCACTCGGCGGACACCCCGGCGGAGCATGAGCTGGTCAAGAAGGCGGCCCTGGAGGCGGGTGCCTTTGCCGCCGTGGTGGCCACCCACTGGGCGGATGGAGGAGCCGGTGCCGTAGAGCTGGCCGATGCCGTCATCAGGGCCTGCGAGCAGGGCAACCAGTTCCGTTTGCTGTACGACCTGGAGCTTCCGCTGCTGGACAAGATGAACAAGATCGCCACGACAATGTATGGCGCTGGAAAGGTGCAACTCTCGCCGGCGGCCGAGGAGAAAGTTAAGCGACTGACGGAGGCGGTAAGTCATGTTTTGATATCTATAACTTATTTTATCATTACATAATTTTCATTTTATTTCACTTTGGTTCACCAGGGCTTTGGCAACCTACCCATTTGCATGTCCAAGGTATCGGGCTCCTTCACGGGCGATGCCAAGATCAAGGGCGCCCCCAAGGGCTTCACCCTGGACGTGGAGGATGTGTACGTATCCGCCGGAGCCGGTTTCGTGGTCGCCATGTGCGGTGAGGTCACCAAAATGCCGGGTCTTCCCACACGTCCGGCCATATACGACATTGATCTGAACACTGAAACCGGACAAATCGAGGGCCTATTTTAGACTGGCTCACTGGACAAGGCGTAGATGGCCGTCAATTCAGAAAAGCATTTCCATATCCAAAAAATTCCAATTCCAAAAAAATAAAACATGTTTCGTTTTAATGTGTATATAAATTGATATAGAGATAAGCTTTAAAAGTTCTAAATACAGATTTTTGACGGATTGTGGTATCTTTTATAGTTATTTTCTAGAAATCTACTTTTATTATGCTTTTGTGTATAAAAGTAATATTCCTACGGTCCTAAGTCAAAGAATCTTTGAGAAATACATACATATATCGAAACCAATAAATGTTTATACATATATTTTATCAATCCCCAAACCACGAATTTAGGACATATTAATTTGTTATTGAAAACATTTCATTTTTGGTTTGAAATGATATTAATGACATACAAATACATATAAAAATGTATATATATTGGTTTCAAATGTTGTTAATGACATACATTAACATATATAAATGTATTTTTTGGTTTCAAAAAAAATATTCTGTTTTTATTTACTTATTTATTTTTATTCATTCTTTTTTTCCACGCCCATTTATACAGGAACGTAGTTTTTTTTATAAGAAAATTGTATAATATTTTTTACTTGCCTACTTGAACATACAATCAACTTTCGAAATAAAATTTCGGAATCTTTCGTTGTTTTAGATTGGGAGATTGTCATAACTTTTTACCTTTTTACTTGAATACATTCTTTACACATTATCTGGTATTTGAACGTACGTAATAAAATAAGGACTTATGTTAGCAATGAACTTATACCTTAAATCTTAAGCTAACATAATATAAGCAAGTTATTGGTGAAACAAGCGAGGCCTGGAAAGCTTTATGGATTTGCTTGAATATATTCTCACTTGTTCATGGAAATGGGTACAATGGGTATAAATTTTCGAAATGGTGGTATCAAATTATAAAGTTTTTTTCGGAGCCCTTAAACTGAAGCGCGATGCCATACTTCCGCCATGCGTTGTGATGCTGTCTACATCCCCTTCTCTGTCCTCCTTGCGTATCTTGGACATCATTTTAAAGTAGTTAGAGATGATGAGATCGACCCTCGGGCCCTTGGACTCGCTGGCCAGCTCCTTTTCGCAGCGCGAGACCACATTCGTGAGCAGACCGCCGGACTTGAAGAACTGGATGTTGATGTCTCGTTTCACCCACTTGCAGATCTGCTGGTGAGTGTAGGGCTCAAAAATTTTAATAAGCTGGTAGAAGTGCTCATAGTTCTCCGACATCTTCCGCATCTTGAGCTCATCCATCTTGGGCACCACCAGGTGAGGTCGCCTGATGATGTGGTATGGGTCATACTTTTCGGAAAAGTTCGAATAGCGCACAGCGGGCCAATCCAGGTTGAGTAGAGTGTTGTAGAGCTTCTTCGGATGTCCGAGGATGCCGTGCGATACGTCAATCAAGGACAGCTGTGACCCAGACACTATATACTCCAACTCCATCTCGGCAATGCGGATGTCGGAGCCCCTGTACTTGCGCTCTCCTATCCACAGAATGGGTAGATCCTCATCCGGAACCAGCTTCAGCTCCTGGATCAGAGGCGATTCCTGGATGCGATAGTTATAGTTCTTGCTATTCCTGCCGTAGAGAAGACTTCGCTCCGCAGCCGTGAAGCTGAGATACTCGGGATGGGCGGAAACAAAGTGCTCCGATCGGAACAGACGATTCATCTCCATTTCGATGACGAAATACGCCCGCCGGTGCATGCAGATCCAGATGATTTGGATGGACACGGCCAGGAAGTGCTCGTGAAAGTACTTGTCGTGGATCGTGGCCGAAATGTTGGATATCGGTTTCATGTGGTAGAACCTGGCCATATCGCCCTCGCCCCCAATGATGCGGCAATAGTTGCGGGCCACCAGCATGCGGTACTGGCTCAAGTAGACGGAGAAGGTCTGCTTCATCTCGTTGGTCTGGGCGCTCTGCACCTGGGCCAACTGACCGGAAAGTTCGTCGCGACGGATCAGCACAAACTCCACCATGCGCAAATAGTACTCGAAGTATATAATTAGGGCATGGATCAAGGAATGAACCTCCGGCGTGTGCATGAAATCAACGAACTTGTACGTGAGAAACTCGTGCGGCATCAGGTAGAGCACCAAATCTCTTATATCCCGGACCACCACCGTGTCACTGTTGTTGCTCTTGGCTCGCACATATTCCTGCCGAAAGATGAGCTCTTCCTCCTGGTCCATGGTGCGCAGGAACTTGTAGCCGTTGGTGGTAATGAATCGCTCCCTGGCGTTCTCCAGATCGTTGTGCGCCTCGAAGTGGAGGCAGTCCCGCTCCGAATCCCAAGACCACTTGCCGCTAAAGTACTTGGGGGCGTAGTTATCCACATGAACGCGCTTCATTTCGAATGTTTCTAGTTTGTCAGTTGTTCTGTGAAATCGGTGTTGCTGTCAGGTCTATACTTTGAGTTGTGATGTTTGTTTATCTGCTATAGGAACTCAACTTGTTTCCACCCAAGTGTCCAATCTATATGGAGACATGCTCTTTCCTGTCAATATCAGATAAAGCCATGCTTTTATCTGATCAGGCACTAGGAAAGTAGGTGACCGGCGACATTTTCCGTCGTGTGTTTTTCAACATGTTCCGGCGCAACATTGCCCAGCCGGTCACACGGCAGTTTATTCTGCGCACCGCTGTACTCAACTTTCTGAGCAAGAGTCTGAAGCAGCAGTGGAATGACCTGCGCCAGTTGATCGCCCTCCTTGTACAGAGTGAGGAGTATCAAAAGGACGAGGCCCAGCTAGTTGAGGCACTAGAGTTGAAGGTGGCCGCATCGCATCGTCTGCTGAAGCGCGAGTACGACGAATTGTTCATCTACATGATGGACAAGCGCGATCTGTGGGACAGCCCGGAGTACTTCAAGGCCAAAGCGGCGCTGGGAGCGGCCATCCACAACCTGCGGACGTGTGCACCCACCAAAACAATGGACGATGGCCAGCCGAGATGAAGAGTTGCCAAACGATATATATAGACTTGCATTCAATCAGTATATACATACACACAAAAAGCCAATCCTTAACTACTTGTAAAAGGGTATCTCCACGCGTCCGGACTTTGTGTTGACCGCCTCCCAGCAGGTGCAGGCAAAGGTGGAGCGGTCCATGTGGTCGGTGTACAGCTTCCCCTCCAGGTGGTCCATTTCGTGCTGGGCTATCCTGGCATTCCAGCCACTCAGTGCCAGTTCGCTGGCTTTTCCATGTTGATTAAGGCCCGATAGTTTCACCCCCTCGAAGCGCTCCACATCGGCGGAGTAGCCACGCACACTCATGCAGCCCTCGGGATGTTTTAGCTTGGCGTGGTTGGTCACCGTCAGCACGGGATTGATGAGAACCTAAAAGGCCAAGTGGTCAAAAGTATTGGGATCATAGAATCTAGGGGTAAAATCCCCTCCTTCCCCCTTTCCCCCTTACAGTCAGTGGCAGCTCGGACATTTGGCGTGCCTGGTAGACCGCCTCGGGCAGCTCCTTTCGGATTCGTCCCTTGAACTCCATGGCAATGATCCTGAGGGAAACTCCAATCTGGGGCGCCGCAATGCCCACGCAGTCGAATTTCCTCAGCACCTTGACCATCTGCTCGACTATGGCCTCGATTTCGGGGCTTTCAATGTGTTCCTTGGGCACCAGAGCCGCCTGTTGCCTCAGAATGGGATCTCCAATCTGGGTGAAGTGGTTATAGGGCGGCAGGTTGGTGCGCTCCGTGGTCCACAGTTGCTGATACCACTTCCTGAGGGACTGACTCGCCGGAGGACTCGTTCCCAGGCAGCGGTGGTGTCCCAAAATAGTTTGGCAGAGTTTAATCCTTGGCTTTAGCAGCATTTTGTTTAATTTTCCGTTGTTGTTTAACCTCTTTTTGGCCAGCTGACCGGCTTCCAATAGGGATGGGACTTATGGTGACTATCGATAGATCGATTAAAAGACGTTTTGAAATTGGCGCCCAACATTATGATTTTATTCAATGATTCATGATTCTCGAAAAATTGCTTGTACAATTAATTTTTATTTTGTTTTAAATAATTAAAATATAGGAATATTTTCTTAAAATGTATTTTTATGTTTTAAAAGTATCACAAATTAAAGAAAACCGATTTGTTTTTTATTAACAATATAAAAAAGGCAAAAAAAAAACTTTCAAAAAAGGAGTTATTAAAAAAATGTTTGTTGGATTCAATGTAGTTTTAGTATTGATCACTTATGAAACCAAATGGCCGATCGACCTTCGGCCGCGTTGACCTGCTCCCAGCTGACACACTTAAAGCTGGAGACATCCATGTGGTCCACGTAGATGGTTCCATTTAGGTGATCCACCTCGTGCTGGGCGATCCGTGCACTCCAGCCCTCCAGTTCCATTTCCGACGGGGTTTCCAGCTTGCCGATCCCTCGGATGCGAACCTTATCGTACCGCTGCACCTCAGCGGAATAGCCCCGCACACTCATACAACCCTCGGGATGTTTGTTCACTTGGCTGCTGATAATCTCTAGCTCGGGATTTATAAAGACCTGTAAGCATATGATTTACGATGTGAAAATCACGGGATCTTGTAATTCTATATAGATAAAATACGTCTCACTTGGAAAGATAATTGGACAAGTCGTACTAAGTTTTGTTTCACAAACGGATAATACGTTAATAGCTATTCCATTTGCATTATTATTTTCCGAACAAGCAAAACTTACCGCCAAAGGCAGAGTGGACATTTTGCGCTCCTTGTAGATTTCCGGCTTATATTGCTCTTTCTTGCCCTCTCGGAATTCCATTACGATAATGCGCAACGGTATTCCGATTTGGGGCGCCGCCACGCCCACGCAATCGTAGTGACGTAACACCTTCACCATGCGGTCTATGATCTGATCGATCTCCTTGGTGTCGATGCGCTCCGGAGCAACTTCCTCGGCCACTTGCCGCAGCACAGGATCCCCAATCTGGGTGAAGTGGCGATATGGTGGTTCGGACATGATTCCGGTCGCAAGATGCGGCTCTCAACTGAACAACGTCTGTCGGGCAACTGCTGCACAGGGCTGGCGAGGTGGGAAGATTTTGCTTCGATAACCTTATCTCGGGATCAGCTGGTTTAAGGCATTACGTACAGTGGGAACTATAAGTGGGCATTCCATTTGCTAGCAAAAGAGTATGTTACTAGCAGTTTTGAGCTGTACCTAATAACATGTACCTAGTAACGTACCTTGGTAGAATGTGGTACATTATACCTTAGCTAGGTACAAAATATATAAGGTTAACCTTACTTGTGTTTTTATTTGTCTTTAGAATAAACTATGTTAGGTATTTGTATTTATTATTGTTTTTAAATGATATTGAAACAGCTTGAAGATAAGTTAATTCCTTCGCATATGCAATGGTGTTTCTACTACCAAAATTATTTGCCATAACGATGCAAAATAACATAATTAAGAAAGAAAAACTCAAAGAACCTAATAATAAAAATAAAAAATTAATTACAACATATTTTTTTTCTCTTTTTTGTACATTTTACCTCACCTTTACTCTTGAAAAATGCATCTTTTACCTTTTCGTACTTTTTACCTTACCTAGATACTTGAAAAATGTTGTATAATACCTTGTACCTAAAATAGATTCAAAAATCTACTATTTTTTTAAGAATGCTACTAAAGTAATTAAATAATTAATTGCGGTCTCTAGTTAATTGGGATTGATTATCAGTTTTTAATACCTTTTTTGTTGGATAATATTATAGAAAACTCAGTCGAGACCAGACCAATTGTAAATAATCAGCGTAATTATTTTATTCACGAAATTCCAATTTTGAAGCAATGCTAGTGAAAATACCAGTAAAGCAATTTTTAAAGAGAGGTGGAATCACTCGAAGTAGTACTCCTGGCCGGTTTTCTTCTGGCGCGGCGAGTTGAAGCTACCGATGCGCGAGGACGTGATGCTGATGTTGTCCGCTTCGTAGGGCGTTCCCTTGCGCAGCCTGGACTTGACCTTGAAGTAGTTGGCGATGACCTGGTCGACCTTGGTGGGCGGGACCTTCTCGGCCAGCTCCTTCTCGCAACGGGAGACGATGTTGGTGAGCAGCAGTCCGCCGGAGCGATAGAACTGGACGAGCTTGTCCCGCTTGAGCCACTTCTTCAGGATCTGCAGGCTGTGCGGCTCGTAGATGCGGTACACCTTGTAGAAGTGCTCGTAGTGTTCGCTCATCTTGCGCACCTTCATGGCGTCGATCTGTGGAATGTCCAGGTGCGGCTGGCGGATAATGTGGTACGGGTCGTACTGCTGCGAGAAGTTCGAATAGCGCACGGTGGGCCAGTCCAGGTCGAGGATGGTGTTGTAGAGCTTCTTCGGATGTCCGAGGATGCCGTGCGCCACATCGATCATGCGCAGCTGCGGCCCGGGCACAATGTACTCCAGCTCCATCTCGGCAATGCGGCGGTCGGTGCCGCGATACTTGCGCTCCCCGATCCACAGGATGGGCATATCCTCCTCCGCCACATGCTCCAGCTCCTGGACGAGCGGCGAGATCTGGGTGCGATAGTTGACGATCTTGTTGTGCGGCCCGTAGAGCAAACTGCGCTCCGCCGGCGTGAAGCTAAGATACTCCGGCCGGGTCATCACAAAGTGATCGGACCGGAACAGTCGGTTCATCTCCATCTCGATGACGTTGTACGCCCGCCGGTGCATGCAGATCCACACGATCTGGGTCATCACGGCCAGGAACTGCTCGTGGAAGACCTTGTCGCGGCTCGTGTCCGAAATGTTGACAATCTCCTTCATGTGGTAGTAGTGGGCCATGTCGCCCTCGCCCTTCAGGATCACACTGTAGTTGCGGGCCACCAGCAGCCGATACTGACTGAGGTACACCGAGAAGATCTTCTTCATCTCGATGGTCTGGTCGCTCTGGATCTGGTCGGCCAGCTCGTCGCGGCGCACCAGGACGAACTCCACCATGCGCAGGAAGTACTCAAAGTAGATGATCAGGGCGTGGATGAGGCGGTGCACTGCCGGGCGGTGCATAAAGTCCACGAAGCGGTGGGTCAGGAACTCGCTGGGCATCAGGAAGAGGACCAGGTCGCGAACATCGTTAATCACCAGCGTGTCCGAGTCGTAGGTGCTGGTGTCCCGCACATATGCCTGCCGGAAGATCAGCTCCTCCTCCTGGTCGATGGTGCGCAGGAACTTGTAGCCGTTGGTCGTGATATACCGCTCCCGGGCATCCTCCAAATCGTTGTGCGGCTCGAATTCCAGGCAATCCTTCTCCGCGTTCCACGACCACTTCCCACTGTAGTACTTCGGCGTGTAGTTGTCCACATGGACTCTCTTCATGACTGCGTATTTCCGTGTTTTGTTTCTATATTTTTTTAATAAGTGTTTTATTTTGTTTATATTTTCTTGTAATATGTGTATGTAGAGCCTGCGAGTTGTCTGTGTGGTGTGAAATTTTGTTAAAAAATGGAAAACCATATGACAGGCTTTGAAATGAAAATGGATTCCAATAAATCATTTTCGCGGTATTGGTTAACACAGATACACAGCCAAAAAATTCCACGCATTTGTACTGAAAGAACTACTTCATAAAGGTACCTAGAGGTTTGCAATAAAAAATGGGAATAAAAACAATAAAATCATTGGACTTCCGGCTTAAAAACAAATTGTTTATGGTATATTGCATACTTTTAGAAACTATTGCAAGTCATTAAAAACACCAAGTAATTTTTGTAGAATAATAAAAACCCCCAGTAATGTTTGACCGACAAATTGTAATTAATCTTAATAGGGCAGATCTTTTTGTAAACAATCTGGCAAATAACAACGTTGTTTTCCCAAATAACCCCTCATGTGTGTTGTAAGGATCCGCTTGTCTAAAAAGTTTGACCAATTACACCTACACTTCTGGCTTTGTTCGTCCATCAGAAAGTTACTCCTGGTAACTGGTTTAGCAGTTGTTGCATCGAGTTCACCATTTCAGTTGCAATTTCCAGAAGGTGATAAAAAGTTTGTAAACAACTATTTCGCAAAATAGAACTGTGTGAAACGACGGCAATCTAGTATGTTTTAAAGCCTTTTTTATTTTCCGTATTTAAGTATTTTATGTATTATAATATTATGTATTAAAATATTATATTTTATTATAACAAAATTGGTTATTCTTTGCTGCTTTAACGTTGCTCGGAAAACTAAATGACGAATTAAAAACGAAGCTACGAGAGAGTCGTGAATCCTAAAGCTTTTTGTTATGGTCAACATTTGTATAGAAACATGACAAAAGCTCTCTTGTTTTTTATGGCAGTTCTTGGAACTAAGGTATATCTTTGGCCATTCATTCAAATAAATTATTGGAATTTACAAGGCACTTTATTTGCTTTAAATACTTAGTTGGTGGCTAACAGTTTGGTAGTAGAGTTTGCCCACCCACCGAAACAGACTTTCCACTGAGTAATTTAATAGCTTTATCTTTTTTAGCTGGAAGGCTAGTTAAGATGGTGCCAGGATGTTGGAATCATATCTATTCCCATTTTTCTAAGTTGACGTGAGTTTTATCCTGCATTTTGTATTTGTAAGGCACTCATAACGCCAAATAGGCTAAATTTATGAGCATCTTGCGGCAAATTTATGTGGGAACCTAACAACAATCAACAAAAGAACGACGAAATCCTCTCTCCTGCACAGGATAAAAAAAATGCCCCAGGCTGTAAATCTAAGTCACTCATGCAAACGTTGGCGGTACAGTGAAGCCCCTTATGAGGCACCCATACAATTGTTTTTACATCTTTCAGGAGCCAAGGGCATGTGGCTGTTCCTATTCTATTTTTGGTTGCCTTTATTCTTGCTCTGCACCCATGTATATCGTTTAAAAGTTTGAATAACTTCATAAAACAGCTAATTTCGTTTTATAAAAACAAATAGTTAAATCAAGAGTAGATTCTCATTACTTTTGAGTTCCAGATTTATTTGTAGGAAATGCAAAGGTTTTGAAAGTATTTTCTTAAAGCATTGAACCATTGTGTGAATTTTCCAGAAATAATAACTGTTAATAGTGAAATATTTCAAAAAACATTTTAAGTTAAATTCATAGTAACACCCTTTTTTAATAGGTTTGAATGATTTAACGAATCTGCAAACAAACTGATTGCTAGTCCTCGGAAATAATTTGTTTTCCTTCAATTAAATATATACTTACACAGCTCTTTGGAAAGGAGTGCAAAGGGCTGTGAGTGCTGGGAAAAGAAAAGCAAACCAGAAAAAGGACTGAAAAAGTGAAGTTCAGATCCTGGTGGCATTGTTTAGTTTGACATGTTGTCAGCAAGCGGGCAGAAGTTCAAGGGCTTGTGAAGGTTTCACTGGGCACATTATGCTTGAAATGTGCCCATTAAAAGTGTTTGACCAACAGGGAGGAAAAGATAAGGCACTAATTTTTCTAAAACTACTTGCTGAAATCATAATCTATGGTTTTAATTTGTTCGTTGCTTGCGGTCTCACAGTTTTTAATACAACCATTTTTTTTTCCATTGTTTGCATCTCGTTTTGCATGCAGACCTGCCTTGGAATTTTCTTGGAAAATAACAGGGACAATCCTTTGGCACTCGTTGGGTGTAATGGACTTCGCAGAAAAAAAAAGAAAAATTGTGGAAAATAATTAAGAAAAACCTGGAGAAGTAAAAAGAAAATTCCACAGTACGCATTTACTCCAAGAATTTTTCAATTATGAAGAGGAGGTTTTGTTAAACTTCGCTTTTAAGATATTAAAACTAGTCAATGTGGAAGCTTTTGGAACTAAAAAAGTAAATATAAATCTGCTTTAATAATTAACTTAAATACATTTCATTTCATTTGAAACACACATAAATAAAACAGTTTACTATGGTAGTAGTAAAGAGCATAAAAAAATTAAACAAAGGAAAGCTAATAGCTCGTTAAAGTTGAAGGTGGGTATTTCAACATACTTCTTGCTTAAAAGCATATTGATAACACGTAAAATAACATTTAATTGGCAAACTGTTAGGGTCAATTATTGATTTTTGGCGTCAAATTAAAAACTGTGAGGCTGTAAAGGAACAATTAGTCTACACGGTATTTTTCTGATTTATATTAATCTTTGTATTTTATTTTTTATATGATTAAACAGAAAGAAGAGTTCTTACAAATATTTATAGCCACTTAAAACAGTTGCTCTTGCATTGCGCTATTAATTACCAATTGAAAACCAGATTTGTACGTGAGCAAAGTGGATTTCCCCTGCGAATCATTTTGTTCTTGTTGAATGTGTATATAAAAAAAAACACACACACACACGCTCAGTTACATGTAAATAAGCGTTCGAATAGCTCAGTCTCTCGTGCATAAATAATTTAATTGCATGCATGATTCTCGAGTGATGCCATAAAAAATAAAATGCAATTAATACTCGATACAAAATCAACAGCCTGAACAGGTGGTAAAAATGGCCTTTAATCATATTGTTCGTGGTGTGCGCTGAAAGTCAGAGTGGGAAAGGAGGGTCTTCAGGCGGCGGAAGGAAAACCCATGGTGTGGCACAACACGTATACGCCGTGTGGTACAGCAGGCGCCAGCATAGGGAAAAGCAGGGAAATCTGAAGCGGCGGCAATAGCAACAGCTACAGCAAATCACCCAAGTGTAACTCCCTGCCTTGTCGCCTGAAATTTGGCTTTGTCCTTCGCTCCGTTCTCTTGGCTTCCTTAATGGCTCAGTCGACATTCGGCAGTTGGCAGTTGGCAGCATTTATGGCAGCATTTATCGAAGCCTGGATTTCACCCTCAGATTTAGGCAGCTACTGCCGGCGTTGCTAAAAATTTATTAGCCCGCTGATTTATTTGTTCAATTGCATGTCGCACGGTTGGGGAGTCACAGTACGATTTTGATGTGGGTACGTGCCATTAAAGGCATTTTCAATGATTCCCCATCGCACAATAAAAAGGCATCGAAAGGGGTTTTAAAATTTAAACTCTTTTGGATATGTTAAGCATTCAATTTTCTATATTTACCTAACCTTAAATGCCACGTCAAAAATTTTACAAATTTAGAACGACTAACTTTAAATTTAGAAATTGAACGCAGTGAATATTTACTTACCACTCTCCACTTAATAACAGAACTCAGTCCTTTTTTCACACACCTGTCATGCTCGCATGACCTTAAAAATGTTTTTGCCATGCATAATTGATATGGGAGCCCTATGATTAACCCTCAAGGTCGACCTAATGGGTTGATATAAGCTGACACCCCTAAATAGGTGGGCAGTACATTCTAGCCCACCTATTGGGCTCCAAAAGCGGCTTAGTTTTATTAATAAAATTTCTAGATAGTTCCTGATAATTCTTGACTAGACTGCGTGTTCTTACTTTCCGTCAATGCTCAAATGTGTCAAGTATGGCCAAAAATATTCATTCAATCACTTAGCATACATTGTTGCCAGCGGATTAGTAATTTCAAGTCTTTGTCATGGCAACCTGAGATGGCCGTTTTAATTGGTATATTAATTATCGACATTTCGCCCAGGCTAAATTACCTAATGAAAGACATTAAAATTTAATTACATTTTGTTGAAAGCTTTATTGACGAACTTTGGCTCAAAGTAAAAAGGCTCTTTTGCAATAATACCGTGTACTTGGCTGGCCTACGCACAAAAAAATTGATAACAATTAATTTATTTTGAAACTGAAGAATGTCATAATATTTAATAATGAATAGCATGATGTTTTTATTTAATATAAATAAGGTTTTAAAATCTGTTTTCAATTGAAATAAGTGTTTGTCAACTTAAAAGAGAAACAAGAAAATTCTAGCTAATTCTATCTTATTTAATAAATAATTTTAAATATTATTTAATAGCTTCCTCTGCTAACATTGTATTGTATTTGTTCAATAAATTCGGACTTTAAGGTCTCTTTAAAACCAAATATGCTAGTATTTTTCCTAAACATTTAACACAGGATTTACTTTATGCAAACCCTTTCACATCAATAAATCTATTGTGCAGTCGGAAGCTGGCGTCAACTCATTTTAGCATCAATAAACTCTGATTGTTATTTAAATTGTATGATGTGACTTCCTCGAGGGCCACTTCCGAGCCACATTTGGCATTCCGTTCGTGTTGTGGGTTTTGTGGCTATTGTCACTGTCCGTTTAAATCTCTTAAAACTCATTATTGTTGCGGGTGGCAGGCCTTTGATTGATGGGCATTTGCAGGGCTTTCAGTGCCTAGGCTTGTTACGACAATAATCTGGGACAAAATATGATCAAATATGTTCAAGTGTCCTCAAGCTGGCGTTTGCGTAAGCTGAGACTTAGATATATTGTAATCGATTATTGGGGATTAGATAGAAATCGAACAAAGCAAGGTAATCTCGGGCACAATCGCGGGTTCTAAAGAGACCATGCATACATTGTTCCATTCCCCATCCCCTAGACCTTTGCCCCTAAGACTTTCG